ACAGGCAAGTGCTCTTTCTTAATCTTTGTTTCTTTTTCAGAGCATTCTGTTCTTGTTTTATCTCTATAGATATAATAGTTTGGGTTATTTTAAATGTTCTCTTTCCTGAATTGTCTCCATTTCTTTTCTTGAGTTGGTTGAGTCCCCTTCTCTTTCAGGGTGGGAGCTTTCTCAATTTTCTAGGGTCCTTGGCTATTAGAGTTCATGTGTGTGTGTTTCATCAGGAGATGAGAGAGTGTTTTCCTCTTTCTGTTGGGGGACCCAGCCATGAATATTTGTTAAGTCTTTTAAGTGAGGTTTTCTAAACATTCTGCAGCCTGGGCCTATAGGAGTAGAGAAGGCTCTGGGCATCCTAGGAGTAGAGAAGGCACTGGGGAGAGGGCAATATTGAGTGCAGAGCTCACTTTACCCCTTCCCACGTCAGTATCCTCTGCTTTGCTTGGCATCTCGTCCAGAGCACACCTGGCTCATTTTCTCCAGAGAATAATTGTTTAGCTCCTTACAAGGTGGGGCAGTAACGAGCAATTTCCTGGCTATGCAGAGTGGGAGGAAGGACTTGGGTCTGATCTCCTTGGTCCAACCTGGTGCCCTGCCTCTACCTGCCATCCTGAACATCTGGAAACTCCTCAGTGCCCATTTCTGGCTGGTCATCCCTACTCCGCTTTGCTAATTTAGTTAACACTTCACCATCAACTTCCCCCGATTTCTCTAATCTACTGATGTATCTCTTCTGACATTTTGCCTTTTCATTCCTCTCCTATCAGGATAGTGTTGTTTGGGGAAGATGAGATAAATGCATAGCCAATGTTGTTAAATGCCGTAGAGTGGGTTTCAACTCACAAAGATCCTGTATAAGGTTCCAGAGAAGTGGCTGGTGGGTTTGAATGCTGACTTTGCAGTTAGCGGTCCAGCGCTTATCCTACAGCATCATACCAGGACTCCAACATAATCAATTGTCATTAAGTGCCGTCAAATTGGTCTTGACTCATAGCAACCCTGTATAGGGTTCCTGAGGAGTGGCTGTTGAGTTTGAACTACCAACCTTGTGGTTCAAACCAACCTTTCAGTCCTGTATTTATTATACAGTGCCAAGACCACAGTAGGACTCCAACATAATCATATGCCTTGTTTAATTCGAAATCTAAATCTAATGGGTAGTGATTTCTTAATGCACTCTGGGTGTTCTTCTGAGTGATGGCAGTTTTCAAACTAGAGAAAGATGGTAGAGGCACAAACATTGTGAAGGCACTAAAACCCATTGGATTACACCTTGAGTGAGTGTGCTGTGAATTTCATGTTAATTAAAAAATTTAACATTAAAACTTTCTGAAGGCAGTTGTTTCTTTAATAAAACATGTATTATTAATCTCTAGTTATAACTGTCTCTCTAGGTAACTTTCTGAGGTTCTCTCCCTATCTTAGTCTATAGTCAACTTCGGTGAGTGTTCCATGTATCTTGGAAATAAAGTGTGTTCTCCCCAAGAGGTTGCTATTGTTGTTGTTGTTGTTAAGTGCCGTCGAGTCGGTTTCGACCCATAGCGATCCTGAACAGGGTTTCCAAGGCTGTAAATCTTTACGGAAGCAGATCGCCTCATCTTTCTCCCGAGGAGCAGCTGGTAGTTTCTAACTGTGGACCTTGCGGTTCGTAGCCTGATTCGCAACCACTACGCTACCAGAGCTTTAAACCATGGTTGGTAAGTGCCACCAAGTAGGTTCCAACTCATAGTGCAGAGGCATAGGGTTTCCTAGGAGCAGCTGGTGGGTTTGAACTGCTGACTTTATGGTTCGCAGTCCTGTGAGGATCCCACAGAGAGACACCAGTAGTCCTTACCTATTAATAAAATCCTCTTGGTCATTTTCTGTCACCTTGGCCTGTCATCGAGTAGCACTGGAGCTTGAGGAAGAGGTGAAGGGGTACAGGTTTGGATTAACCCCTGTGAGAAGGAAGGGAGACCAACGGACCAGTAACGGAGAGGGGAGCCCACAAGGGTTGAGCGGGGCCACACTTGTTCCCTTCCAGCCCTGCTCGGCAGCCCAGAGGGACAGTTGTTGGGTAGACTTAGGGCTAATGGGGTCAGAGTATAGTCCAGAGAAGTTGAAGAGGGAGACCACAGGGTCTAGGATTGGTAAGGTAGGAAGTGAAGACAAAGTGAGTCTGGGGGAGAAGGGACCTCATTTGAGGATAGGGTGGCTCCCTTTTGCTCTTAAATGGCTGATTATCCTAGTGCTAGATGTTCCTCTTACAAACCTCACTATTGCTAGACTGAAAACTGAGCCACGGTAGTTAGGCTCATTTCCAGACCCGAAGGGTGGTAAAGGCAGTAGTTTTGAGGTAGGAGACAATTGAGAAGAGTGGGGGACTCCAGGGAGGCCATGACTGGAGAGATGATGTGTTTCTGAGAGGCCAAAGGTGACAACAGCCAAGGGCGTGGGCCCAATAGAGGCGAGGTCAGGGTGCAGATGGAGTTGCTGTGGTCACGCAGGCTAATGGTGGGAGGTGGGGTGGAAGAGCTGCTGGCACTCAGTCTGCAGTGAATGTTAGGAGACAAGGGTAGGTAGAGAGCACAGCAGTGTGAACATGGGATTGGTTGCTTCTTAATGAGGGAGGATGGGTTTGTACAAGAGGGAAGAGAGGTCTGGAAACAGGATGGGGGCAGGATGCAGCCCATGACTCCCACCACAGAAGCACAAGGGTTTGCACTACTCCTCTCCTTCCTCTGCCCCCTGGCTGGGGCAGGACCCCTAAGCAGTAGACTGGAGGAGAGGCAGCTCACCCTGGCTCTCGTTTCCTCCACTATCCCACCCCATTCTCATGAAGCAGCCCTCCCATTAGCAGTAGGGCAAGAACAGGGGCAGCCTTGGGCTTCAGCTTCTTTTGGGGAATGCTAGCTGGAGCCCAAACCCAGGCAGATGACAGCTTGGGGGTTCCATCTGGTGATATAAGAATGTATCCCTGTCTCCTAAAGAACCTTGGCCCTTTGTTTCTGAAAACAATTTTTGAGGGTTTGGGCTTATGGCTGTGGGCCTTGCCCCCTCTGAGCATGCATAGCCCCCTACTGTAAGGTGAAGGATGGTGCCAGGCAGTAAGACCCCAAAAGCAGTGCAGAAGAGAGGCTAGGAGGCTGGTTAGTTGGGACCTCATGTGTTTCCAGTTCAGCATGGCTTGCTGGTGAGCTGGACCAACCTCTTCCTCCCTTCTTTCCTAGACTGGCCTTCACAGACCCTAGAAGCTTTTGGAGCAGGGCCCACTGGGGGCTGGTGTCTACTGTGGGGAGTGCGGGCTCCCGGGAGGCCTCTGACCAGCAAAGCGCCTCCACTTCTCAGCATGTCAGAGGCCCCTCCTTGCCAGGTCACCCTGCAGCATCGGACTCAGTGTTCAGCGACACCCCACCCCTCAAATGACCTCAGACACAGCTGAATGGAGAGGCGAGTCAGGCTTAAAATAGCTAAATAAATCTTTAATATTTCTAATTGCAAATGTACAGAAATTGCACAGCCACACAGTCTGAGAACACCAACAGCTTCCTCTGTACATTATTACATAGGTAAGTCACAGCTGGAGGGAGGCACTCCAGCCCAAACTCCCACATTTGCATTTTTTCATTTTCACATACTTACAAAAGGGAAAAGGGGAGACGGGGATGGTGGAGGGGCATGGGTCAGCTTTGTGGCTGAGTGTAGAAAAGAGAGGGGCTGTTCCCTGGATGGTCTGGCTTCTGCAGACAAACGGGGCATGAGGACTGAAGTGTACCTCGGGGCAGATACTCTGTAAAGTGGGGGATGTGGGGGGGCTGGCCTGGCTCCACCCCCCTTTCTAGGCAGTTGGAGAAAGAGTCTTCACTTATAGTGAGTTTGGCAGTTTCCTTCACCTTGAACATAAAAGTTAAGCACAAAGAGTCAGGCTTGTCTGTGTTGTCAGGGGCTGGGGTGAAGGGAGTTTGCTCCAGCTGAGCCTGTGGCTATGACCTGGGCTGCTCTGAGCAGGGCCTGCCCTTCCTCCAGTCCACTTCCTTCCCCTCTGGGACCTCTGGAGATTCCTGCGCTGGCAGCAGGCTGGGTCCACCCCTGGGTATGGGCATCTCTGCACCTGGGTGTAAGCCCATTTCACCAGCCTCCTCAGAACCTCCACCCAGACAGAGCTCTGCAAAGTCAACAAATAAATGCCACAGGCGAGAGAACACTCGAGTATCATCCCAATCCCACAGGCTCATCCTCCTGCTCAATACTGTTCTCAACATTAAAAAATAAAATAGAAACCATCAGGGGAAGCCCTCAGCAGCACCAGGACTCACGGACTATGTACAACTGTTAGGTGAATAGTTACATTACAATCAAACACCAAGAACATTTACAAAAATCAGACTTGCAAATGAGATAAAAATCTGTGACGAGTCTGTACACTTTTACAGTTTTGCACTAGGTAAGGAAGGCTCTTGGCCCGGCCCGAGAGCTCACAGCCACGCTCAGGGCGGCCAGCACCGGCCCGTAGCTGTGTCCTGCCCACAGGCCCTGGGGGCCTCCCCCCCAGTATTGCTAAGAGGTGCGCAGTTGGATCGCTTTAAGACGTATCCACAGAAGGGAGGTGGGGAGGAGGGTGGAACTTGCTGGTCTGCGGGAGGACTTGTCTCCTTGAGCCGGGCCCTGCCTGTGTGGTTACCCTGCTCTGAAACATACAGGTATGAGGGTGCTGATGGATAAATGGGGCAGGGCCTCAGCCTCACCTCCCTCCTTCCTGAAGCCTGTGGCCCTTCAAGGCCCGCCCTCACCAGCAGGTGTCTCTGGCCTTCACTTCATTGTGAGTTACATCTACAAGCCCCTTCCCAGAACAGCCGCCCACCCTTCCTTGAGCCTAGGGTGGTGTGCAAGGTGGCTCTGGGCCACCCTTTCTGATGGAGACTCTGAAGTAGCCCTGGTTCTGGCAGCATGTTCCCAGCCACAGGGGCCAGAGAGGGATTGGCACCTCTTTGCAAGTATCGCCCCAGCATCCAGAGACACCATCCCCTGCAGTCCCAGCCAAGCTCTGGCCGCCTAGGCAACCACCCCGAGCTCCGGCCCTTGGTTATCTAGGGCCAAGGCTTGAAAATGTGTAGGGGTGGGAACAGGCAGGGATCGAGACACAAGTGCCTGCCCATATATGTCCCATGAGAGACGGGACTGGGCAGGTGAGCTACAGATCAGCCTAGAGCTGAGGAAACCAGCCCTGGCTGTGGGTGTGCCCACCCCTAGGGTCTGCATCGCCTGGGTCCTTGGCTGGGGACCCGGGAGGGTGAGGAGGAGGCCGGCCGCACACACGGGGCCTGGTGCAGGCCGTTGGCTGTCTTGGAGAGGGAGCAAGTCTAACATCCTCCAGGGCCGCTATTTCCCATGCAGTGCGCACGCTCAATTTAAAAGGCCCCTGTGTTCCAGCAAGCGAGCAAGCGGGCTTTTGTTTCTAATGCATACTGTGAAAGGAAAGAAAATCACAGTTATCCACCTTCTCAGGGCCCTCGGGCAGTAGAGTCTTTTTTTAACATCAATCAGAGGAAAGTTCACCTTTTATCATGGTGAACACCAGCAGACGGCTCCCTGCACTGGGCCCCCAGGAGAGGGGCAGGCATCACGCATGGCCCAGCTGAGTCATAGCTGCCCAGACCCTTGTGTTTGGGGAGCCCCAGAGCTTTAGCCTGGGCCTGTGTGGCAAGTGTGGGAGGCTCTGGACCATCTCCACAGATCTGATAGCCACCATCCTCACAGGGTCTATTTGGCAACATGACAGGGGGCAAAGCAGGTGGTGGAAGGTGGGCAAGGGTGGAGGGTATTGGTCTGGGGACAGGTACATGAGGGCAAGTCCTCGGCTCCTCACAGCAGGGAGGGCCCGACAGGCTGCATGCAGGGACAGACTGCTCAGTGGGCACTGGCACAGGGCCAGAGAGCTCCTGCAGCTCTGGGCTCTCCCCACCAGCCCCCCTGCCTGTCCACTGGCCTGTGTGTATCTAGAACCCAAGGACGCAGGTCCACAGGGCAGGGGCCTGGCTGCCAATGCATCCCTGGGTCTCCAAGGAGGCGAGGGGAAGAGTCCAAGGGCAGGCAGTTGGCTCTGTGATTCCCCCACCTCTCTAGGCTGCACCCCTCCTGTAGAGGGCTTGGGATACATGCACTTGGCCAGGTTGAGGAGGGAGGTGACACACCAAATTCAGTAACCAACAGAGACATGTGTTTGGCAGCCCCGCCCCCCAGCGTGCAGTCTCTCCCGCCTGCTCCCAAATGCGCTTCTCCGGCCAGAAGAGGAGGGGAGCGGACTGGGAACCGCCTCCGGTGCATCAGTCTCACGCTGTGCCCTCTGAGGCCCAATCCTGGAGTGGGCGGAGGGGAAGGGAGCCGAGCCTCGGCCTCCTGGGCCCATGCTGGGGCTGCCACCGTGGGGGAGTGGGGGAAGCCGAGACCCTGCCCTCGGCCACCACAGTCCTCCCTCTCCTCAGGCAGGTTAACAATTGCTGCTGTTCCTGAACTCGCCGTTCTCAGTAATCTGCAATTTGGTGGGGTTGGTGGGGGAGATGCCGTTACGGGCTTGCATGCTGTACCTCTCTTTCAGCTGTGTCAGGGCGCTCATGAGGCGGGCGTTGGCGGCATCCAAGGAGGCGATACGCTTCTCCTGTGGGCAAGGCAGGCATGAGTAGACCGTACGGGAAGGTGGGAAAGGCACCCGGGCTGAGGAACAGCACGCAAGAAGGGAGAGGACACACGAGGAAGGCCAGCACTGCAGTGGGCTACCCACTGGGTTGCCAGGCTCCACCTGGGATCAGGAGCTCTGCTCATTGCCAAGCAGGCAGGCCCAGTCCCATCTATCAGCCCCTGAAACCTGAGGGCAGGCATCTTACTCATGTACGTGTGTGAATGCAGGTGCATGCTGATGTCGGGGGGCACAGAGGTGACCACGCATGGCCAGTCTCCACAGTTCACAGTCCCTAGCAGGCCTGGCCCTGTTCCTGGGGATGTCATAGACCAGGGACTAGCCCTGGCTGAAGACTGGAGCCCAGAGCCCCTTACACACCTCCCCTTCCGAGGCAGGCTGGAAGACACAGCTCTGAGCAAAAGCTCACTTCTCCTCCCTCTGCCCATCTGCCAGCTCCGCACTTCCTGCCATCAGCTATGCCCTCTCAGCAGCTTGTACTCTTGGGTCAACATCTCTTTCCTTTCACAGCCTGTCCCAGTGAGCCTGTGGGTCCACTGAGACCCCCAGGTCTGACTTCTCAGAGCCAGAGATTCTTGTTTCTGTTTCTTCTTAGCTTTTGTAGTGAGTTTCCACTGAGGATGTGGAGAGCCCAGTTTCCCCCAACCCCATCCCAGGTCCTCTAACACCTGAAGCCGACTAAAGGGCCACAGTCCCACCTGCGCATCAATGATCTTCTGTTTGGAGTCCACAGCCGCTTGCATCTCTGCATGGTCTTTCTTTAGCTCTTCCTCCACCGACATCAACCTGCAACCGGACAAAGGGACAGTCAGGCTGACACCTGAGACAAGGCACAGAAGGTGGGAACAGCCCCATCACACCTACACAGAGGAGGAGGCACTAGGGGGTCAGGCAAGGAGTGGGAACCTGGAGAGCCCAGTGGTCTCCCTGAGCTGGGGAAACACAGTGAGGCCATGGAGGTCCATGTGGCTAAGGTTCGTGCAGCAGAATTCAGACAGGAGGAAGCCACACAGAGTAACTCCACTGTCTCTCGAAGGATAAGTGCTCTTGAATCTCTGACCCAGTACTAACCCGCACACGAGTGTAAGGAAGTTTCCAAGGCTGGGAAATGACCATTGGAAAGGAGTACACAAAGCAAACCCCAGGAATAGTTCATATATCCTCTGGTTAGAGGGTAAAGCCTTGCTAGTACACAGAGCATCAAACAGAATCCTCAGAAAGAAACTGCTTCAGTGCCCCAAACCAAGCCAAATCCACAGCCACTGAGTTGATTCCAACTCACAGTGGTCTTACACGCTATTGTTAAGTGCCATCGAGCGAGTTCTGACTCACAGAAACCCTGTATAAGCTTTCCAAGGAGCGGCGGTGGGTTTGAACCACCAACCTTATGGTTAGCAATCCAGTGCTTATCCTACATCACCACGCCAGGACTCCAGCCCTGTAGGGCAGAGGAGAACTGCTCCTTGAGGTTTCAGAGACTGTCCATCTTATCTTCACAGGAGCAGACAGCCTTGTGTTTCTCCTGGGGGGAGACTTGTGAGTTTAATGACTCATTGCTCTCCTTACTGCTTCAACACTGGGGCCACATGAAGCCTAGATTAAAGGAGCCAGGAGCCATCGTGGTTTAACATGTTTGGAAGCTAACCACAAGGTCAGCACTTTAAATCCACGGACGAGAGAGGAAGCTTTCTGCTCCCGTTCAGTTTTTGCAGCCTTGGAAACACTACCTTGGCCACTATGAGTTGCAATCGACTCAATGGCAGTGGATTTATACGTTGTCCAGGATAAAGCTTAAACGCAAACCACAAAAGGATCATACTGATTCTTAGTAACCTCATCATATCCCAAAACAAAGCCCCCAAATATGTTAAGGAACATATAACATTCACCACCCAACTATGTAAACTCCACAATGCCTGGCATCCAAACAAAGACTAGCAAACATGCTGTGGCACTGTAGGATAAGCACTAGACTGCTAACCACAACATTGGAGGTTCAAATCCACCAGCTGCTCCCTGGAAACGCTATACAGGGTCGCTATGGCTCAGAATGGACTCAAAGACACTAACAACAACAATAAAAAGCAGCAGGCAACTAGAGATTTAATCATTAAAAGTAGATCCAGAAATGTCACAGGTGGAAAATTAGTTGACAAAGACATTAAGACAACTACTATAAATATATCCCATATTGCAGTGTAGTGAATTACTTCACATGGATCTTCTATGCATAGTTATTTGTAACTCCCACCTAACAATGTTTTTGCCCTGCTGTATTTGGGTAAAAGACGGTGTGAGAAGATGCTGATAAGATTATATGATTTAGTTGTGAGTGGTTAATAGAATTAATTCTGATTGTGAAACTTGAAACTCTAACGTGGGCATAAAATGAGCCATCTCTGAAGCAGAAGGCTTGATCTCCTCTCCATCAGAGAAGACGAGCCAGGAGAGGACCACGTCCCTTGAAGCCACATTGAATCTCCTCGATCCACAAACAGAAAGTTGTCACACTGGAGGAGTGGCACAACAGCAGAACCAAAAGCCAGGGCAAGAGACAAAGCAGAGGGCTTCGCAGCCCACGGAGCAAGTACAGCTGAGTGACGTCAGGCAAGAGCTTTGCTTGTGGAGTGGGGTGCCTCTAGGCACTTAATTGGGGGAGCTAGGTTTGCCAACCCAGGGAGCTAGAGCCACGTGCATTCAGGCTGAGGCTTATGGTAGAGTGGTGTGTTCTGAGGGCTCTGTTTCACTGGCCAGGCATGGCTGAGGAGAGGTTACCCTGACTGGAACAACGTGCCCTGAGCATTTCTGGTACTGCATTGTAACCTGTTAAGTCCCCTAATAAACCCCCTTAACTGTGAGCGTGGTGTTCTGAGTCCTGCGTGGTCACTGCAATGTATTACTGAAGCCAGCTGAGGAGAGGGTGTTGTGGGAAGGATAGTGTGCTATCATTTTTGCACATATGGTCAAGAAAATAAAGGACAAGCGCAAAGAGAACGGAAATGAAAGGAATTTAAAAAACCCAAACAGAAAGTCTAGATAAAATATCGAGTATCTGAAAGGAAAAAAGTACCAGATAGGATTACAAGCAGATTAGGTACTGAAGAAATGATCATCCACTCTGAAGCCACTGTAATAGAAATGATCTAAAATGAACAGAGAAAATAATGAAAAACAGAGCACACAGGATCAGTGTGATGTGGTGCAATGTAAAGCCCCTAACATACATGTGACGGGCAGCCAAGAGAGATGCGAGTGGGCAGAAAAAATATCTAAAATTATTTTCAAATTTGTTGTAAACTTTAATCCCACAGATCTAATCCACAGAGCTCAACAAACCCCAAGAAACATGAAGACCACCACACCAAGGGGCATCATATTTAAACTCAGAGGAGTCCTGCAGAGTGCCGTAGGATAAGCATTGGGCTGCTAACCACAAGGTCAGTAGTTCAAATCCGCCAGCCACTCCTCAGAAACCCTAAACAGGGTTAATATGAGTGGGGATCGACTCAACAACACTTAACAACAACAGAAAATCTTAGTAACAGCCAATGACAAAAGATTCAGAAGAACATGAATGACAGATTCCCTGTCATTACAGCCTGAGGGTGGGGGTCTAATTCAGCCCTCCCTTGCTTCTGTACACAACCACACCAACAGTGGCTCTGCTACAATGACACAGTAGAAGAACTGCAACCGAGGCCATGAAGTCTGCAAAGCCTAAACTATTTACTATCTGCTCCCTTACAGACAGTTTGCCAATCCCTGCTCTAAAGCAACCAACAAAGAGCTATAGCTAAGCCAACAAGGAATCATAAAAAATACTCCAAAATAGGGCAGGAAAGAAGAGCAGATGGTACAAATAGAAAACAAATAGCAAAATAAAGACTGAAATGTAGATATACGAATAATTATGTGAAATGTACATGGTCTAAGCACTCCAATTAAAAGGTAGAAACATTCAGATTACATAAACAGCTAGAACCAATAATATCCTGCCTATAATAGAGAGGTACTTTATATTTATATATAAAGACAGATTAATTAAGAGTCTAAGGATGGAAAAGAAACATCAAGCTAACACTGATCCAAACAAAGTTGGAGTGGCTGTACCAGACAAAGTACATTTCAGTGCAAGGAATATTGTCGGAGATAAAGAAAGTCATCTTATAATCATGAAGGGATGTGTTCACCAAACATCAAAAGTACATAGCAATCTGAAATGTGTATGTACCTAAACACAGAGTTTTCATGTACACAGAGCAAAAAAAAAAATTAGTAAAAGGAGAAATAGGAAATCCATACTCATGATTAGAGATTTTAATATCTTTTTCTCAATAATTGATAGAACAAGTAGAGAGACAGAAAAATCAGTAAGAATATAAAAGACCTGAAACAATACTATCAGCCAAGTTGTCATTTCTCTAAGGGAGGAAATCTATGGATTGGCTAACAGAAATAAAGATGGTAAGCCACTGATTTCAGAAGAGCTTCTACCTCTCTGAGAACAGACACTATGAAGAGGAGGTGGTTAGGTTGAAAATACTTCTGTTCTTGCAACCACAAATGTGATGGGAGTCAAAAGCACAGCTGGAGGTCAAGTGCACAGTGGTTTTCTGGTCAACCTGATGATGGGCCCTTGCTTGTGTTTAACTCCCTTACAGTGAATACACAAAGCCACAAGTACAACCAAGCAAGCAGTAACAAGAAGCAAAGAAACACGTGGTTTAAATAGGAGACTGTTGAGAAGATGACAAAGGATGAGGCCAGGAGGGGAACTTGCAGCCTACAGAATACCCGTTGCTGGTGTTAAGTGCCGATGCATAGCAACCCTATATAGGGTTGGTGGGTTTGAACCACCAATCGTGTGGTTAGCAGTATAGTGCTTATCCTACAGCACTGTACCAGGACCCCTAAATGCTAAATCTGTCCTGATGGGGTCTTTTTTTTTTTTTTTTAAGTTTTTATTGTGAATTGAATGATAGTTTACATGGGAGAACATTGGTTTTACACTCATCGTTTCATTGCAATGATTACAATCTCCTCCATGTGTCATCATTCAACAGTATTTGCTTCTATACCCTCTTTTTTTTGTGTGTGGGAGTGGGGAGGGGAGGATGTACACAAAAATACTCAGGAAATATAATCATTTAAACAATCAAAGGGCACATTCTGTAGGCCTGCCTCCTGGCCACCAGCACACAGCCTTTCTTCTTCCATGAGTCTAGAGTCTTCAGCTGCTCTTTCTCTCCATCTGATGGGGTCTTTGAGTGTGCAGATAAGCAAATTGGTACAGTCACACAACCTCCCGGCTTGTACTTGATGCCGGTCACCATGAAGTAAGCCCTGAACTGGAACGATGATTGCACTCCCTGCACCCTGTATAAGTCCAGGAGGGTCTGCCCACCTCCCCACAGGGGCCAAGGGACAGAGACCACAAAGGACCTGACATAAGCTCCAGACCAAGCAAGACAAGGGTTAGTGTTCAAACCAGCTGCCCCTACCTGTCACCCTGTCCCCACACACACACTTCCCTGGAAAACCTGTAGGCACCTAACACCCAAACACCCAGAACCAGCAGTGTCATCCCTCTCCTTCCCCACCCAAATTGCTCCTGCTTCAGAGTTTCCATCGTAGTAACTGGCACCATGGCGCACCCAGGTAGACGCTCTTGGTAGAAATCTGGGAGTTACTCTGCTCCTTCCTCACCTACTTACTAAACACAATGGGCACTCATCCCTACTTTTCCTGTCAGTCCTCCCAACCAGCTTCTAAAGTCCCTGAGAGGGCTTACAGAGATGCTCCTTTCAGGGCCACACATTGTCGTCCTCGAGCTGCCCTTGACTGCTGTGTCCAGTTCCCTCTGACCTCCAGCCTGGGGCACTCACCCCTCCTCTCTCCACACCTGGTCCATCCTCTGTGTCAGGCCCTCACCAGTCTGCCGCACCCATGCGTGTGGGGCCAGGACTGGGCCCTCACCTGCTGATGATGCCCTTCATCTGGATGTCCTTGTCTTCCTGCTGCCGCCGCAGCCGCTCCTCACCCTCCTCTAGCCGTGCCTGGTACTCCAGCACCAGCTTCTGCGTCGTCTCCTCCTGACATTTGAACAGGGTCTCGTACTCTTCTAGCTTCTTGGTGGAGATTCGCAACTTGTCCTGCAGCACCACCAGGTCCTGCCAGGAGGGCAGCATGCCATGGACACAACACCCAGGACAGAGAGAGCAATCTCATTAGCCCAAGTCAGGGCACATGATCGGTATGCCCAGGAGCCAGGGGTGCTGGGGTGAGACCCAAGACCTTGCACCCCACCCCCAGACTGATCTTTAGGGCTGAGGGGGAAGAAAACTCAAACCCAAATTTAGGCCTTGAAATTTTTTCTACAAGGTATGTTTTTAAACCCTTGGATTTAAGGACATCTGACTGCGCTGAGAGGTAGAGGCTCTACAGATGGAGGAACTGAAGGCCAGGTGACCAGGTCACATGGAGAGTGGCTGCCCTCCCAGTCTCTGTCTGTCCCTAACGCCAGGGTGGTGGTGGTGGGAGGGAGAGCCAAGGGGGTCCAGCTTTCATGAACCTCAGTCGTCAGGGAAGATAAACAGCAAGCGGGCAGCTGTGGGTCTAAACAGAGGAATAAGGAGGACTAACAGCAGCATCAAGAAAGATCTAGGCCTGATGGCAGAATACACGGGTTCAAGAAGACAGAAGGAGCCTCTCCTTGGGTGCTAGGCAATCCAACCAAGGGGATGCCATGCCCAAAGACCCAGAGCCAGTAGCTCCACAAGAGAGACTGGAAGAAACTCTTGCCCCACTGCGCGTTTCCCCTAGGACACAACTGGACCGAGAGGAGGCCCCACCCCAGGTCTTCCGGTTCAGAGGAGGAGAGAGGGTTCTCCCTGACAAACAAGGACCAGGCCTTCAGGGAATGTGAGGGAGCCAAAGGTGCCCTGGATTTGCTGTGAAGGGTTACCGGCGAAGAGTGTGAGGAGAAGCGGGCAGCTCATCTAACCGATGAGCAGAGGAAGCAGGAAACCCCAGCCACTGCTTGGCCCTGAAATTGCTTCATAGGTGGGACTGAGTCTCCCGGTCCCCTCAGGTAATCATGGTGAAAGCATATGAATGTAGCAGACCAAGGGGATGGAGGCGGGTGGCGGGATGCAGCATGAAGATGGGCCCTCGCCCTGGGCCAGGGGAGGGAGCTCTGCCACCCTGCCCTCCGTGCCCTTGCCTCAAAGCTGCCCTCCTGGGGTCCTTGGACCTTAGCTTCCCAGGGGAGATAAGAACCAGCCAGGAGTCCAGAACAGCTGTGACAGCAAGGGGGAGAGATGTTGAGAATTATGGGCACACCTGCTGACTCACCAAGTACTATATGTGTGTGGTGGGGGCAGAGTTTAGATTTTTAAGAACAAACGTTTCCCTCCCGGGGGAAGAAAACATCCCAGTGGTGATATGAGCCCCACTCCTAGCCCTGGTTAACTCTGCTGTTCCTTTCCCAGGCCCTAGTTGAGACTTGGAGCAAGCACAAACCCTCAGGGGAGGGGGCGCCTGGTTGGGGCTGGCTCCCCCAGCTATCTTGACCACTCATGCCTCTGCCCGCCCCTCAAAAGTCTCTATGCACCAAGATGGCACCCAAGCCTTCTGGCCCCAGAAGGTCTGATCACCAAACCCCAGGAATCTGGTCTGAATGCCAGGTCCCCGGGTGCTCGTGGCATGCATCCTGTATAGGACACCTCAGATCTAAGCTAAATCACTGGCTGCTATGCTTCCAGACTCCACTGATGCTCCTGTCCTTGTGTGGGGCAAGGGATGAGAGGGTCCTGCTCATTCGCAGGAACAAGCAGCACCCACTTTTCAAGGCTCTAGAGATGAGAATCCTGATAGCTACTGCCAGGAGGCAGCCCCACCCTGTCCCCAACTGCCAGGGTCCAGCTTTACCTTTTCTGCTTGGCTGAGCTCCTCTTTACTCCTTAGCCTATCCCTGTGGGGGGGGTCTGGGCCCAGGCCCTCGTCTTCTAAAAACTGCGCGTTCATGGTCAAGAGCCAAGCGGCCGTGCGGTCCAGGGCATTGGGGCTCACAGGTGAAGGGCCCTACAATGAAACACAGCTGTGAGGGGCTGGAGGGAAGGGGGCAGGAGGGGAGCGGTGCAGGGAGTGGCACCCTGGGAACCACAGGGACGGGTGGCTCTGAGGCATGGTGGGAAAGGTGGGAACCTACATTTGAGGCCTACTGGTGTAGTCCTCGCCCCAGGGAATCTCGAGACCATAGTCAGGGGCAGCGTCTGTCCGGGGAGCCCAGGTGGACTACCACCTCAGGACGACACTCAGGAGAGTGAAGGTGTAGACAGCACAGGGCTGGACAGTACAGGCCTCCCCATCCCCAGGCAGCTGCTCCTAGAAGCCAGCTCAGCCCACGGGAGCATTTTGGAGGTAGGTGTGGGACAGACTGGACTCCTGCTCTGGGTAGGGGGTTGGACTCTCTTTCTCCCTTCCTCCAGGCGACTAACAGAGGGGCCACACGTCCCTGGTTCGAGGATAGGGGTGGGGCTGTGGACAGGGCGGAATGCAGCACCAGTGAGCATGGGATGGGTGCAGGTGGAGATGAAATGATGGGGGTGATGGGCCAGCCCTGGCCGCGCAGCAGCACTGACCTGCTTGTGCACCGCACGAGGCTTCAGCTCCGGGCTATCACCCTTGGAAGAGGATGACTGCTGTCGCAGGCGGGCCCCAGGCCCAGCCCAGTCGGGCGAAGCAGACGCAAGGGTTCCGCTGGAGGGTCGTGGGTATTGCAGAGTGCTCAGCAGGGTGGGAGGCGTCCGGCCACGGGGAGCAGGGGGTGGTGGAGGGGGAGGAGGCGGCGGCTGGTCGATCCTTCTCTGGGGGCCAGCACTGTTCTGCCGGGGCACCGTGGGCTGCCCGCCCTTCTCAGTCAGCGACATCTGCCGCCGTGCCAGCTCACCGGGCCGCCGCGCCAGTTCTTCGGCGGCAGTGCTGAAACTTCCCAGTTTGGCAGCGGCGGCCAACTCCTCACTGTTGCTGTGTGAACTCAGGGAGCTGTGGCCCTCTGAGCCTGAGTCGCCAAGGCCGCGGGGAGACAACGGCAGGCCAGCCGCCATCTGGTACACAGGGTTCTGGAAGGAGAGCGGTGCCAACAACTGGGGCCGGCCGGGGGCACCCTCTGAGGTGCCTGGTGTGGTCGGTGTCTGGCCTGCCCGCTGCACCGTGGCCAACCCTGCCAGGTTCACTGGGGCTGCCCGGGCTGGCCACCCAGCCACCAGCTGAGTTGTGGGCGCCTGCCCGTCAGCGGTCAGGGCGTCAGGGCCGGCTGGGGAGCCCACCTCCCCATCCAGTGTGCGGGCATCTTGGAGGTCCACCATGGACAGGCTCTTGCCACCGTTGACCATCTGAAGATCAGGTTCGTTGGCTTCCGAGTAACTCGAGCTGCGAGCAGGCGAGGGCTGGACCCCGGAGGACCTTGTGACAAAAAACAAGTCCTTGTTTTCGGGGGTTGGAGACGGTAACCGGGTGAAATCTATCAGACTGCAGGGAGACAAGCACACACAGGGAAAGAAGGGGGAAAAGAAGAACTGTGAGTGCGGCCAAGGTGGGTCCAAACCAAGAGCACCCACCAACCTGCCAGGGCAGCAAAAGTCAGAGAAATTCTAGGACCACTGGCTAGGGCAAACCAAACCACAGCTGAGCGGTCAGTCGGCTGCTCCTGTGCAGAGCCTCCGCTTAGGGGGCAGGCCTGCCAGTTCTAGGCCAGGCGGCCTGGCAGGCCATTTCCCTGCTCTGCGGCACCTTAGAACAATGCGTGCTGGGGCCTGGAGTACTCTGGAAAGCTCCCCTGAGCGAAACCAAACCCCACAAATCAGCACCTCTCTGCTAGTCAACAGCTCCGCACAGAGAACACGGACTTCAAAGTTACTGGGTTCCCTCTCCCTCTTGCTCCTAAATCAGACTGTTAAGCAGAGCGGGGGCCAGGGAAGCCTCCCCCTGCCCTGCCTCCTGCTGCCGCTCCCTGGTTTGACTGGCAGGCGGGGGCTGTCGTTCCTGCCAAACACAGGGAACCCGTGGAGGAACCTTTCAGGGCAGGGCTCAGGAGGAAGGGTCTGCAACCTGCATTAGAGGGTACAGGCTCCTCCCTCGGTCCTCCTCACTCTACACTGGTCTTCCGGAAATCAGCTCCACCATGGTGAGGGTTCAGGTGGGCTTTGGAGGGAGGAATGCAGAATGAGCAAGGCTCTGAGGAGGCTGTGGGCAGCTAGGACTCAGAGTGTGGCAAGGGCCTTACACCAGAGCTGGTTTGGCCTGAGATGGAGAAAACAGCCAAGCTCCAAGTAACGGTGCTTAGATGGGGTAGGCTGCTGCCACTCGGAGCCACAGCACTTCTGGGCTGTGAGAGCTAGAAGAGGAAGGGAAATACAAAGCCCACACTGCATACCTGGATCCAATCACCTCACCACCACATGAGGTACTGTCCCCCCTGAACTCTGCTGGGCCTCACATGGTGCCTCACAGGGCAGGTCTTAAGATTGGAGTGCCAGCCAAGACGCGGAAGGGCCTGGGTACTGGACTCCTGACCATGCCACATCTGCCATTCTTGATTTCTACGGTCCCTGTGTTTACCATCTCAGAACAAACCCCGGTGCCTGCTTTGCTGCCCCAGCCTCACCCCTCACCTATGAGCCCCTGGTGGGGAGGGGGACAAGCAAGGGAAGTACAAGGAGCTTAACAGAGATTTCACATGGTGTTGTCTTTTACGAAAAAAAAAACGTTCCCATTTTGACTTGAACATCCCAGACCATTTTGCCTCCTACTCTACTGTGTTCTATTTACACTGTACACACTGTGGCTCCAGAGTGCTGGGGCCAAGGGCTCCCGGCCCTCAAAGCCTGGCAGAGTTACCTGAGCTCCGGATGAAAACACACACCCCTGAGTTCTACTTCTGGGGATTCTCATTTGAGTCCAGGGTGGAGTGGAAAACAACATTTTTAACAAGCATCCGGGAATATTGAAAGTTTGGGCTCACTCATTGTTTTCAACATACATCATGTCGTCTTTCCCCATGCCTTTGCTTGTGTGAGTTCTGCTTCCTTAAATGCCCTCTCTACCATGAAGCCACCTTGATTCTCCCACGGGCATGCACGATGCACCTGCGTCTCACTCCAGCTGTTTACAGACACCTGCCTAGATGTCCTCCTCCCTAACCTGGAGACTGCAGATGGATGTGCCTTGTCTGCACACCCTCACCCCCAATGGCCAGAGTGCCTGGCTATTCTTACCCAGAGAGATCGTTCTCGATCACCATCTTCTGCAACCCAGCCGAGATGCTGCTGCTACCAGAGCCAGGCGTGGAGGCCAGGTCGTTGGTCCCCATTAGCTGTCCGCTGCCTGGGGTACTCAGTGCTGTGTGAACATCCCTTAGGATCCGAGGCAGAGGTCCTAGTTTCGACACAATGCTCTGCAAAGACACAAGGAACAGGTGTGACCTTCTGGGGCCTCTCTCGGGGAGGCCAAGCGTGCTGTGGCCAGTCTCTAGAGAACCCGCTGGGGACAGTCACCTGGGAAGCTCGTCAGAAATGCAGATTCCTGTCTTGTCCCCATTCCCCGGTTAGATCCAGCAGATCTGGGAAGGGGTGGGAAGCCCAGGAGTCGATTCCGGCTCATAAAGGCCCTACAGGACAGGGTAGAGCTGTCCTCCCTTTCTCCTGTGGAGTGGCTGATAGGTTTTAACTGCTGACCTGATGGTTAGAACTAGTCCACTGCACCACCAAGGTTCCAGGATCTAAAATCTGCACGGTTTTACCAGTGCCACAGATATTCCTGGGGCTGGGGTGCAAGACCCACAGATCAGAAACACTGATCTAGTGCAAGCTTCTCCCACTTCTGTGTGCATGCTGAGGTTCTCACACCTGCAGTGACCATAAAGGAGCGCAAAGACTTCTGACTACCTGAAGCAGCATCTGTTTTTCGTGAGAAGCTGGGACCAACCTAACAGTCCACCAATAGAGGGCTGTGTGTTCCCACGCGGGGCAGCCTGGGGCTGCTGAGAGGCCACTGATGCAGAAAGAGGTCTACACTGAGCGAGTGAGAAACACCCAATACAGCGGACACAATGCACTCTCGCTTTAAAACAACTGGAAAGACAAAAGTGGGTGTGCTTTTCACATGCACAGAGCTAATTCCAAAAGGCTCCACACACGTGTTCTGAGTGATCACTGCTAGGAGATGGGACCAGGGTGGTTTCCGCACGACTTATCTTGTAAGGAAGTCTCGCTGAGCCCTGAGAAGCTGCCCAGAACACACTACTGTGGGGGCTGAAGTGCCGCTGGCTAGTGGGATCCCAGGTCCAGGGCTCATTCCTGGCAATACTACTGGTGTCCAGGGAATAACCTTGCCAAAGACAATTCTGGAAGGGTTTGTAACTTCCTGCCTGACAGGCAGGTGTGGCTTTTCCAGTCTGCCTTTTCCTTATCAGTGGCCTCGACATCCAGAACAGCAACATTTCAGGCGAAGCAGCTGCAAGAACCCAGCCTGATGGCATTTCTCACACATGTATGTCCACTCCAGGTTGAGTACACCAAGGCTCAGCCTAAAGCCCAGTACCTGGCGAGGGCGACCCCACAGGTACTGGTGACCCACACATAGAGAGAGAAAACTCATCAGAACCCCAGGTGTCTGACAATGTCTGAGTTAGCGCCCAGGTGAGTCTGCATGGAGGACCTGAGCTCTGTGACCTCTGCTCCCCCGGCAGGCACCTGCTCCAGCTGGCTGACGGCCTCCCAGAGCAGCGAGTGCAGGCTGGAGAGCTCACGGCCCAGGTCGATGTAGCCCTCAAAGCCGGCTGTGTTGGAGATCGTCTCGGGGTTGGAGATCTCCAGCAGGAACCGCTGCATGTTGGTCCACTCATGCTCCAGGAACTGGTTCATGAATGACATGTACTCTTCCTTGCTGCCAAACCTGGTAAGGAGAAAACAGGGGTGAGCACCTGGCCCTGCAAAGGAGCGTCTCTTCCTGGAGGCACCTTCCCACCACTAGCCCTCCTTCCTTGTGGATTGCTTCTCAGACCTCTTCTCACAGGGTCTGTCACTCACAGGCCCCCTTCCTCGTTTTCTCCAAGTTTCAAGAGGCTGGTGTGCAGACTCTCAATTCTACACTGGCTCAGGTCTCTGTGTACACGCACCTCACTGGGGTCCTACCTACCCAGGTTGCCATCACCCAGCACCCTCCTCCTTCCCTATCCCAAGTAGAGATGCCAGCAGGATTTGGATACCTGAGCCAGACACCCAAGAGTCCACTTCTGCATCTCCCTCCAACCAGCAAGGTCTGCTGATTTATCTCCTAATCACCCTATGGTCTGGTCTCCACTGCTTCCTCCACTGCCTGCTACCCCCACCCCCAGCTGCCTATGGTTTGGGGCTGACCCATGGCTTGGCTCTGCTCTGCTCCCCAGTCTCTTGGCTGCCGGCCATCTTCCTCCACAGTTCTCCTCACTGCTGTCAAGGTGATCTTTCCGGAATCCAGAGCAGACCAGACCAGACACCTGTCCTTTATTTTAAAAAACCCTTCACTGGCTGCCGCTGCCTTGTCTGGCCTGTTTAGTCCTCTCTCCGGCACCTCCTGGCCTGGCATCTGATGCCACCATTCCACATCACTCCATACGTAGCTCCTCTCATCCCAGCACAGCTGTCTGCACTCCTGCTGCCCCTGCCTCCTGTGCCAAGCAGCTGGGGAGCGGCCTCTTCCAGGGAGCCTCCCTGCCTCCTCTCACAGAGAGACCTGCTCATCGGCCGAGGCTCTACTGCTTATTCTGCATCTGTCTCCCCTGCTGCAGGGCTGAGCTCCAGGAGGGCTACGACAGTGATGGTCCAGGATGGGGCTCAGTAAGGCACGCTGCACCGTGAAGAGTGAAGTGGCTAGACTGGTGCTCACACACTACGGAAGCACCCACAGCACAGACGCACTCGACATCATGAGACGTGGACAGCCTGAAACCACCTGGGCCATCCCCTCTGAAGGAGTAGTCATTTCAAAATGAGGTGTATGAATGGAGAAGGACACAGGAGAATCCTTATGAAAAAATGCTAATTCAGAAAAGTAGGAGGAAACTTATAGGAACCTATCAAAATGGCTATGCCTCGTGAGCTCACAGGTGATGGTGACGCCCCATTCTGATATGTTCTAAACCATTTATGGTCTGGGAACAGGGAGAGGATGGGGTCCAGGGAAGAGTTTGTTTTGAAAAGTGGGACAGAGGATGAGAGACAAAGGCTCCCTGCCACTCACTTGGCAAAGTTGGCCAGGTTCTGGGTGACCTTGGCAATAAGGGTGAGGGTGCGGGCAGTGCGGTCGTCGGGGTACTCCTGTAGTAGGTTGAAGAGTGACGGCGACATGATGGCTGGGCACAGGAAGCGTAAGAAGAGGGAGGCGCTGATGAGGCGCTCACTGATGTCGGGCCGCCCCCGGCTGCTGCACTCCTGCCGCCATGAGGCAAACACCTCCTTCAGCTCCCGTGGAAAGACGCTGTTGTAGGGACAGACACAGGGACCTGGTTGTCAGGCAGATGTCCAGGACCAAACTGAAGCCCAATTCCAAACCCAGCTCTGCCTCCTGACAGCAGTGTTCCTTGGCCACAGGGCAGGGAGGCCTCTTTCTAGTCTTGGCCCCAGCCTTAGGATGAGGCCAATGAATGGACTGGAACTAGAGAGAGGCGGAGGAGGTGGGACTCGGTCTTAACTGGGGTCAATGGCAGAGCCAGTTAACAGAATTGCCTCTCCAGTTCCTGGTCTGGGCCCTTCCCACCTTCCCTACCTTTGGCCTGACCCATGGCTCAAAGCCTCCTTCCCAAAGTGGAGGCCTGCTGAGGACCATAGGCCTCAGGGAGGTAATACAAGCAAACAGACCACTCACTGTCTCCTGAGCTCCCATCACTGCCTTCTGAGATTCACTCTGCTTGCCCAAGCAACCTTACAGGAATTCAAGGTTTTGATAAAACTTCAAATGGCCCAGAAGATGGGAAAACCCTTAACCCCAGGGTGAGAAGATAGCACCCCCGTTTTATAGACGGGGAATTGAAGGTGGTGACCTACCCAGGGAACAGAGCTAGCCCTAGAACACAGGGTTCGTGACTCCCAGGCCAACCTCATCTGGCCAATATTGAAGCGGTTTCTCACCTTTTCTCCTTTATCTTTTGAGATGTGCCTCCTCCCCTGGGGTAGGCCAGATCCCAGTGCTCCCTGAGTCCAATCATTGCCTTACTCTGCCACTAGCTCATGAGGACCCCTCCCTGGACTGCAGTTTCCTCTTTAAACTACAACAAGGCCTGCCACACCCAGGAAGTCATCTGAAGGTTGAGACCCTAAGGTCATGAGAGGGCTTCATCAACTCCAAATGCTTTTTTTCCTAATAGGCCCAGCATCCAGCCCTCAGGCTCTCCCACAGTGAATGCTGGCTGAGCAACCCAGGCCTGACAAGAGGAAGTGAGGGGGTGACCTTTGGCCCTGAGCCCTCCTAATGCCCTGCACAGGGCTTTATCTGGAACACAGAGGTACTTCTGTGCCACTGACAAATGTCAGAAAGAGGAAATGGAAAACTGTCCACGGATATGTTTTCCCTGTGTCCCGGGCCCCTCCTGGAAACAAGGGAACAGGGGGTGAAGGCCCCACCCAACCCAGGGATGGAAAGCGTGCTTGCCCTTCCACCCTGGACCCAGAGATCTAGAAAGTTGCAAGATTTCCAGCCCAGTCCAGAAGGTGTGAGGCGGCTCACTGCACTGGCTCTGGTCACTCCCTTGCCCCTTCCTCACCTGGCAGGCCTGCCCTGGACTGTCCTTTACCAGTATGTCCAGCCCTGAGCTGGTGTCTACTCTGTCTCAGGTGCCCCCCATGGGTACAGGAATCATCCCACTCCACTGGGATCTGGGTGACATGAAGAAGGGCCTCAGAGGGGAGCCAGAGGTAAGGCCTTAAAGCAGGAAAAGCAGGGATGCGTATAAGGTGGGGGTGAGTAAACGAGAAGACAAAGTCAAGACAGGGGTGAGGTGTGGCTGGGGGTGTCCGTCAGGACAGTGCTGGAGAGACTGGGGGTGGGGGAACGTGAACCCTGAGCTGAGCAGTGACTAAGGATAAAAGCTGAGACAACTGGTCCCCCAGGATGGCCGTGTCTACTACCTTACAATGGCTAGCCATGAGATGTACCACCACCAGGGCCCCTAGTATGTTTGCCAGGGATGGCTCTGTCCCTGGTCAGTCTTATAGGTGCAGCTCAGTCCGCACGGCCCTATTCCTTCCTGGGTGGAAGGAGCGTGCAGAGTCTCCTTGTCTTTGCTCTTTAGACCTCACTAGGCAGTCTGCTGGCGTCCAGGCTGGGTGTGGACAGACAAGGGGGCCCAGTCTCACTCACCCAGCAGCACAGCACACTCCAAACACCACGCACAGACTGACTGTCTTGGCCGAGTTCTCTCTGCCGTGACACCGTCACAACCATGTTGTGCATACCCCCTCAGCATTCCTCTGTGTCTGAGACCCTCAGTGTGATGAGGCTGCAGGCCTGTCACTCAGCCTCTCCTAGTAAAGCCTCCGTTCTCTTGGATGGGAAATGGAGAGTCCCACATGAGAGCTGTTGGGGGCTGACTAGCGTAAGCACAGAGCATGCTAAGGGGCTGGGGACAGGAGCCTGGGACAGCACTGACCAGTAGGAGTTGATGATCTTGCAGAAGGCCAGCTCACAGCACATTTTAAGGTTGCCCTGGTGCTCAGGGAGGTCGCTGGTTGAGCACTTGCTTGGGTCCACTTCGCAGTTTTCATCTGACTCATACAGCGCTTTGATGAACTCGCCTGTGGCCGGGGTGGGAAGGGAGGGCCAGTGTGAGGTCCTGGGGGTGCTGCTGCCTGCCCTCTCCCACCCGCCAGCCCACACCCTCTCTACCTAATGCATCCTGGAGGTACTTCTGGCCCACCAGCTTGAGGTACTCCTCGATGGCCTTGGTGGCCAACGTGTTCTCCCGGAAGATGAGGTGCTCGTTGTCCCCACAGCGGTCCACTTCTGACATCATCAGATCCGTGAGAAAATCCTGAGTGGGGATGGGAGAGGGAGGAGGGGGGCCCTTGAGTCAGCCTGGCCACAGAAAGCCCTTGCTTCTCAAGGTTGCTTCATGGTCAAGCTAGTGGGGGCCCAGAGAGGAAGACATTCGGGAGCTACCAGGGAGTGAGGGAAGTGCCTAGAGTTGGTGACATCAGAGCTGGGCCCAAGGACAGGGGAGGCAGGCATGGGCCATAGCATAGGACATAATGCCACATATGCCCACCATCATGGTCACACCAGCCTTGACCAAGGCCTGGTTGGGAGGCCACACAGAACTGCCCTAACCCATGCCACCTTCCGGGCCAAAAGACTAAACAGGGCTGTCCTTTCTTCATGGGACAGTAGTCCACATGAGTCTCCCATACTGAGAGACAGGCAGAGGCTGTCCAGCTGCCTGGAAGGTGGTGAGCCACCTTGCATGGGTGTAAGTGGGGACCAGTATTACCCACAGGTAGCCCTTAGCTTGAAACTTGGGAAGGCTGTGTGCCACTGGTCATGTGGCACACCCAGGAGGATTCAGACGCCCTTGGAAGGCAACTGTTGGATCCATTAGGCCCACCACTCCAAGTCATGGGAAAACCCCAGCAGGGAGCCTGAACCCACACCATCCGGTCTTAGGAGAGCTGTCAAATGAACCTGCTGCACCCATCTCCCTCCTGTGGAGTCCCAGCCTCCTCACACCCACAGGCAACCTTGTGATCTGGGGGTAGGCACAGGGAAAGGAGAGAGAGAGACAGAGACTCTGGGAGAGCAGGGTCACCCAACACGGCGCCTGCAAGGCTGCAACTGTGGGCCAGGGTGTCCGGTGGCCAGGAAATCCGTCACTGTGATATGTACAGCTGCAACACTATGAAATCCAGTGGCACTTGAGGCACAGAATTGAGCCATAGGCCCAGGAGTGCTGGGTGAGCAATGGAGCACCAGGAAGGGCTCCCCCGGGGGCTGTTCTGAGGACCATGACCTGACTGTCCACACCTACAGACCAGCCTCTAGGAGCCCATTCCTGAGCAGGTGCCGGTACTTCACCTCGGCCTTTACTGCTCAAGCCTACACTCCCCAGGACTGGGAAGAGGAGCTCTCAAGAACAAGGACCCACTGAAGGGAAAACCAAAGCACAGAACAGGAAAATGACTTGCCCAAGGCCACACAGCTGCCTGGGCCAAATCTGGACTAAGTCTCCTGCTTCCTAAGCCTGTGTTCCTCCCACTGACTAAGGCTTGGGGAGATGTTGTTGTTATGTGCCGTGGAGTCGACCCTGTACAGGGTTTCCGGGGCTTGAGGATGGCAAGGGAGAAACCTCTCCAAGTCCTAGCACAGGAGCTCTAAGAATTCCCTGCCTGGAGAAGAGGTCGGGGAAAGGGAAGGAAAGCCTTGAGACAACCACATGCCCAGCCTGAGACCAGAGGGAAACAGCCATCACTGCTTTAATGCAGGGCTCCAGCCTCTGCCGCCCCCCGTACTTAAGCTTCTATCCTCAGACTCTGCTTTAGTCCCCGAGTGTCCAGAGCAAGTCCCTTCTGCAGTGGAGTGACTTTCTATCCTTCCACCTACTGCTCTGTGGACAGAGTCCATGTTCCCACCCTCTCCACAATGATCACCTCGCTCACTGTGAGTGCCCCAAGAGCAAAGATTCATTCTAGTTATTTCCCAGGCCAGCCCAGCTTCCAGGACATGGCCACAGAAAAGGATACCCACAAGCCTCTCTGCTTCCCCTTGAGGGCTTGAGGGCCCCAAGGTCCTCAATTCAGTATCAGTTCCTGCCTCCCACCGATGTGGACACTATATTAAGGACAATCTTTGGGAGCCTTACCATTCAAGTCTGACCTTCCCCATCCCTACCATACAACATACCATTCAGCTCCTATGCCACACCACTGCCTGGAGGACGAGGGCCTTGTGAAATGTGGATGGACTCCTGGACCAATCTTCCCTTCCATCATACTCCCAAGGGAAGGGGGGAAGTACCCCAGTCTAGAAGGAGTCCATTTGTCTCCAAAACCACTGGGTGAGGGTTGAGGTACGGCATGGTCTAAAAGTGAAGGGGACAGGACGTGGGGGAGAGGGGGGACTGGGACCCTCCAGTCCTGATGACTTTCAGACAAGCTCTGTTTCATGGGGCTCTGTGGTGACCACAGCCATGGATAACTGACTCTGACCGCTGAATGGCTGTAAGTGAGGACTGTGTCTATCTAGGTCTGGGTCTGAACGTGGAGCGAGACTGGGGTGCCGTCCAGTTGGAGGCTGTCTGCCAGACTCAGGCCCTATTTGTGTGTATGTGTTTGGGTGTTCCAGGGACTGGCAGGGTTTGTGGGACCCATGTGTGCTGGGTAAATCCACTCCACAACTGCTTTCCTAGAGCCTCAGGGGCCAGACCATCCCCCCCAATAATGCACAATCCCCACCAGCCCACGAGCTTCAGTGACAAAGCCTCCCACCCCATGATACACTCTTGAGAGTTTAGGGAACCCCAGGTTATGACCGGTCTCCAGTGCCCCCACAAGAGCTGTAACACATGACATGAACACAGGGTGTCGGCAGGCACGTGGGAGAGCCTGTGCCCTGGCTGAGGACCAGGGTACCCACACGCACCTTCACTTTGCCTGTGCTCTGCAGGATGTGCACCAGGGCGGAAGCCATCTCCTCCTTGGTCTTGGCACTGAGGATGGGCTCCAGGGCTGCACAGAGCCCCAGGTAGTGGTTGGTGATGTGCTCGGCAAACTCCTTGTACATCTCCATGGGCAGGATGGTGATGGTCTGGTAGCGGGCCTTGATGCGGATCATGGGCCCGGGGCCTTTGCCGCTCTTGGGATTGGGCGTCACCACCGGGTACCATTTCTCCACGAACTGCCGCCCGGCCACTGAGGCAGCAGGTAAGCTCACCAGGCCCAGGTAACTGTTGCGCTCCTTCTTCTTTTTCTTGTCAGTCTCCCGGTACAGGTGAACAGTAACTGTACGCAGTGGAGGCAGATTGTGGAATTCAAAGTGCTCGCCCCAGAAGACATTGTCTGTCTTGAGCTTGCCTGTGGTTCGGGCATAGAGCACATCGTCCAAGCACAGCTCACAAAGGTACTTCTTCTTGGCCGGCAGGTCCTTGGCCTCAATCACCCACAGCTTTAGGATGTGCTCCACACGCCGACTGTTGTCCTGAACATGCACAAGGAGGCACAAGTGGGTGGTCAGTCAAGGGCAGCCCTGTAACCCCTGCCCAGTCCAGTGTCCTGTCAAAGGGCTCAGATCTGAGATTGCTTATAAGGGACACACCAAGGGACAGAGACAGAGTGGCGTGTGTACAGCTTTGGAATCTGACAGACAGAGCGAGGCTGCTTACTCAGGCAAGTGGCTTAATCTAAACCTTCATTTCCTTATCTATAAAATGGGAATAAAATTACCCTTGCCTCACAGAGTCCATGAACAAGTAATGAGGTTAGCACAATGTGGGGCACAGAGCGAGCTGCTATGGCTTAAAGTAGCTTAAGGTCCCTTCCTTAGAAAGTCCATGGTGACCAGGGCTCCGCCAGGCCCTCAAGTCAACCGGGAAGGCAGACACAGAGAAAGTGATTATACTCAGGGTCCCACGAGCCTGAGGGGACAGAGCAAGGGGCAGTGGGAACTCAGAGGAGAAACCAAGGAGAGACAGAGGTCTACACTGGAGTAATAATCCTATAAGAAGTTGGATGAGGGCAAGTGGGGACAAGGATTCCAGGAGGGAGGACCCAGGGGCCGATGCCCCTGAAGGCCAACACGCATTTCTCCGGCCCAGCTTCCCCAATTTGTCCTTTAAAGAACACAAGCCCCCAGCACTTGTCTGACCATCGCTAATTCCCTTTTCATTACCCACTCCCAGGACCACCCCCATCCCAGCACACAGAAAGGCCCCTCCCCTACATTTGGGGCTGCGTCCTGCTGGCGTTCTAACCTCAACCGCCCCATGCTTTGACAAGAGCTGGCACCAGCCTACCTTGTTGGGGTGCACCGCTCGCCGCAGGTTCTCCATCCACTTATCCCGTTCAGCTGCTGACCGGCAGGAAAAGCACTTGCTTCCCGATGAAGTCGTCACCTGGGAGGGCAGACAGGACAGTGCTACAGAAGGGACCGCAGCAGAGCTGGGTGTGGGCTTAGGAGACCTGGCCGCCAGGTCTGCACGACAGCCTCAGGAAGCAGATAGGGCGAGGCATCCCACTGCCCTCAGATCTCATCGTTTACCGGTAGTGAGTGGGTGCCATGCGAGTGTAACTGAGTTATGTGCTTGGCTGCTAATCTCAAGGTCAGCAGCTAGAATCTATCTGCCATGAGAGAAAGAAGAGGCTTTCTGCTCTCATAAAAATGTAGAGCCTTGGAAACCCTACCTAGGGTCTCTTTGAGTAGGAACAGACTTCACGGCAGACAACCACCGACACCACCATTGTTACATAGAAGCCCTGGTACCATAGTGGGTCACACATTCGGCTGCCACCAGCTGTTCCACAGGAGAAAGATGAGGCTTTCTGCTCCTGTAAAGATTTACAACCTTGTAACTGACCCTCAGGCACACAGCGGTAGTAGCCAGCTAAGACCGCTATCACAGAGCAGGTCAATGACACAAAAGTGGCCCACCCTGAGCCACCAGGCTACTGGTCCTAGAGCCTCACTCCTGCCTCAGGACCTTTCTGTCTAGACAGAGAAGCAGCTTTCTGACACTAAGCTAACTCTCCCTGAGATGGGTGGAGGGAAGGAGTGGGCCACGCTGGCTGAGTCAGAGGGCGATGAGCAACCACAGGTAGGGATTCTATCAAAGAGCACCCATGGTAGAGGTGGTGGGTACTATCACCACATCAATCCTCTGCTCAGACCTTCCAAAGACTCTCTTTGCCAAGCTACATGTCAACAGGAGCCAAACGTTTTTTGTGCCAGACTGGAGAAGTGACAATTGGGCTGTCTGAGCGTGCTGGACCCTAGGGGGCCCTCTGCTCTGGCCCCTTGCTTTCATCTTCCCAACAGACTGACTTGCTCGTCCTCAGTCTCAGCTGAGACATTTCCTCCTGGGAGCATTCCTAGGCAGGTGGCTTCTACTGGCCCCTTCCTCCCCCCCACACACACCAAGAAAGGTCCTTCAGGAAGAACTCAGACTCCTATTCGGTGGTCAGGGGCCAGCAACCCTGCTGTGGACAGTCTTGTCTTTAGTCCCTCCCAGGCCAGAAGTCAGAGCACCCAGCCAGCCCTGCATGGCTATGATCTTGAACTCTAAACAGCACCTGCTGGGCACGGGTCATGGAGCAGATACTGGGCAACACTCTGTCCACTCCCCGGGGCCAGGACCATCACACTCGTCCCTGGCTGGCTGATGTTCATGACCAGAAAAGCACCCAATTATACATGGTACTGGGTTGGAGAGCAGGGGTGTGAGAACTCTTACCAGAAACTTAGGTAGGAAAAGAATCTGAATAATTGGAGGAGCTCTTAAGAACCCACCCTCCCTACCAAACTCCCAGGAACCCCTGGAAACATTGGTAATCCTGGTCCTGCAGTCTCTGGGCCTCCGTTTTCCCATCTACAATAAAGGACTGGACAAGGTAATCCCTCACAACAGGCTGGCCCAGTGTGAATCAAACTGCCCACAAACTCTGGCGTATCAAATGTTAGGACAGAAAAGATTTGGGCTCTCATTGTACAGAGGGGAAATGGGCCCAGGAAAAACAGAGGGAGTGCTCCTTTATCCTACATGACATTTGGGGGCCTCTAGGAGGGGTGAGAAGACTGGCTGAAATGAGGGAGCCCTTGGCCTGCTAGCCCAGAGAACAGGTGGGAAAATGCAGAGGGCAGCAATGAGGCCCCAGATCCCCAGCCTGGTCTCTTAGGAACTGCCGAGCACTCAAGGAAGCTTGTCTGGAAGGAGACCTGGCCCCACCAGAAGGGGTGTCCCCCTGCAGTGGGCCCACCTCGAAGCAGTAGTCCTGGCCTAGGATGCTGCTGTGCACGGGCTTGATGACCACCTCTTCCTCCATACTGAGGTCGAGCGCCTCCACCGCACTGCTGGGGCTGAGCAGGGACTCGTGGGAGCGTGACTCCTTCAGTCTTGGCATCAGATGGGACCTGGGGAGGGGAGACAGTGGGTTTCAGACTGGACCTGTCACCCTCCCAGCCACGATGGTGCCCATTCCTCTCCCCAGTCCACCCTGCCCCCCTGCCCAACTCCCCTCTCTTTCCCTCTCCACCAGCAAGTCTACCCAGACCCTCTCAGCTGGAGACAATCATTCTCCAAGCTCCGGATGCCCTTTCTGCCTTAAGGCATATTTGGGGGGGGGGGGGGGAATGTCAGGGAGGATGTGGTGCTGGAGTGAAACAGTCCCATCAATCAGTCCCTCTACCGAATTGTAGGACTCCGAGTGGCTCAACCTAAGGGAACAAATAGCTGAGGGGTTTAAAGCTGACGCTTAGGCCTACAGAATCTGCCTGGTTCCTGAGCACACCCAGAGATCCACAGGAAAGAGGGGTTCTGGCTCAGCCCATACCTCCACCCTGGTCCTCGTTCAAGACCTTGTCCCTGCCTAATGTCTGTTCAGAACATCAGTGGCAACAGAGCTCTCCCTCATAACCTACCCCATTCCACCAGCCCCACAGAGGCAGGAGAGACGCAGGGGTCTTGGCTGCTTTCAATTTATAAGTGAAGACAGTAAGGTTCCAAATGGAGGGATGCAGTAGGGGCCATGTGCTGGGAGACAGGGTCACCAGGTACCCACATGGCTGCTAAAGACCTGGCCTTGGACCAAGCCTGTCTATTCACTCTGTAGCCCTGGGCATGCCATTTCCCCTCTGCACCTCGGTTTCCTCAGTGCATCAAGTGGAAAGCATCTGAGATGGTACCTGCACCAGTGGATGCCCCCTCCCAGAGCCCCCAGCAGCACCCTGAACCTCCCTCTCCCCCACAGCTGGGACGGAGAAAAAGGCTGAGGCCCAGTGAGCCTGCGGAAACGAAACTGGGCAAGGCTTTCCTCTGCTCAGGGCCATGGCCTGATCCCCTGGAGCCAGTGGGGAACCTTCCCCAGTATCCTCTGCCCTTCAGCTTCCAGCCTGCAACAGCGGCAGCAATCCCAGGGTCGGCTCCATCATTCTCCCTTCTCACCAAAGACGCCAACACCTATGGTCTGGGCCTGCCCTCGACGGACTTGCAGGGCAGGGCTATCAGACCCTTGGGTGCCCGGGAGTTAGGGTCCAAGAAGCTGAGATAGTGGGACAGCCCTGCCCAGAGGACCTTCACAGGCTGACAAGAGTCCACCAGCTCCCAAACTCCACGTCTCCATGGCAACAGCCCACTGTGCAAATGAACTCTCCCTCTACCCCTGTGTGGAGTCCTATGGAAGTCGAGCTGGAAACAGAACCCCCTACCCTTGGGAGCGCCCACAATCCAACCCAGCCAACCGTCTCCCATCAGAGCATGGGCTGACTGTCTCTCCAGGCCTGTTACGACACTGGACACCTGGTAGGGCTCAGATCACCTACATGGAACTGAGAGATCCGCTGTGAGACAGGTCAGAACATTCCACAGGGCTCACATGGGGACCATCCAGTGTAGCCTACCTGCAACCCCCATCATGGTACTGACTGCAGCCCTGGGAGGCTCTGCCATCCCTGAGATCAAGACTTCTCCCTAAGCTGGGCCTGGTGGCCCACTTCACATGGCAGACCCCAAGTCCCCCTCCCAGAATGGGGACTCATACCTCAGTGTAAGGGATGCTCTACCTCCACATTGGGGAAGGCCGTCCGGCTCAGACAGGCTGTGACCCAGAGGGGCCGGGATCAGGAGGCTTTCTGACCCAACCTGGAAAACCTTGCCAGGTAAGGATGCTGGGAACCAGGGTGGGTGGGGTAGGGACTCAGGAAGTGCAAAGGGAGGAGCTAACGAGCAGGGCCACCTCCTGCCTGGGGCACAAGAACAGCTATTTGGGGAAAGGAAAAGGGAGGGCCTGTCCAGGGTCTTCCTAGGGAGAACCAAGGGGTCCTGGTCCAGAAGCCCCCGTAAGTCCAGCAGGCCCAGCTCAGACTCCAAAGCAGCCAGAGCAAGTCTGCAGCCTGTGTCTACAGAACCCTCTTCTTCTTTCCCCCATCCTGCCCACAAACATGTCCCAGCTGGCCAGGCTTTCTCTAGAAACTTCCAGGCTAAAGAGAGGGTGGGTAGGGAAACTCAGCAGTATAAAGGCTTCATGGACTAGATTAGTCTGGTCCACCTGGCTGCAGCTGGGCAGCCCTGAGCCCCTCAGTTCTCCCAAGGTTTCTCCATGGTATCTGTGTGAAACGGGCCATACCATTATCCCCAACACCCAGGCTTCCAGGGAGAGGAACAGAACAAGACAGGACACAGAAGGTTCCGCTGGCCCCAGTGCTCACGGTGAGGAGAAACGGACACCTGACCACCAAGCCCTGAGGTACAGTGCCCCCTCGGTCCTAAGTCCACCCGAGTCCAGAGGCAGAGATGCTGCTGTGATCCGACCAGGGTGGGCCTTCTTGGCAAAACCGAGTGAACCCATGGCAGTGGTGGTGGGGTGATGGTCAAAGGGGAAAACGGCTGGCACAATGCCTGGGGTTCAAGAAAGGAAACTGCTCGTTTGGTCACTTCCTGGACCCAGCAGAACCACCTCATGGCCTAGGAACCACCTCCTCTAAGAAGTCAGCCCAGCCCACTTCATGCCAGGGATAGCCTGCCCCATCAATCACCCAAGGCAGGCCTTACCCCACCCTGCCTCATCTCATGCCAGGCATTGTTGGGCCACTTCCTTTCTCACCTCCAGCCTCTGCCCTCCTGGGCTTGGCAAGCAGCCATCTCTGGCAGGGAGGGGGTGGGGCTGTGGATAGTGAGCGGTATGGCTCCTACCTGGGAGGCTTGGGCCAAAGGAGCTAAGTGGGCACAGGCACCCATGCCCATTCTCACAGGGCATCCAGCTCGTTACTCTCCCATCCCAACTGCATACATGACTGCCAGGAGTACGTGTCCACCCACTTTTTGCGGGGATGAGCTCCCAGGTCTGGGAGTGTGTCCAACTGTCCTGTATGATGTGGAGTCTGAGGCCTGATGCCACTATACACAGGGCCTCTGCTAGCAGGGTCCTGCCCTGACATTCAAAGGTCAGGGTGAGAGAAAAGGTGTCCTCTACCAGTGCCCTGCGCAGTCTCTGATGGCTTCCTTGTCTGACCACCCAAGGAGTCTGGCTACACGAGCCTTAGGTTCCCTCAGTGAGCTTGTGACAAAGAAGGCAGTGTCTCCCCCACTGGCACATGGCGTCCACAGACCACAACCTGCTGGTGACGCCGTGCGTGTGTCTATCAGAACCAGGTCTCAAGCCAGGGTTGTAAGCTCCAGATACCTGCCCACTCCACCAAGGAAGAGGTGGTTCCCCAGGCCAGGTCAACCCTACCTGTGCACTAAGGTTTAACAGGCAGCTGCTGTCCTCACCTCCGCTTCACAGGGGAAACTGAGGCCTGCTCGGAGAGGGAATGACCTGTCCAGGGTTGATACCACCTTGGGGCATTTTTTAATTAAAAAAAAAAGCAAGATGTATGCCTGCCGAAACAATAGCAGTGAGCACGCTCTGTGCAAAGGATTGCAGTGAGGACTTTGAAGATGAGGGCTTTTCTCTGGCTGCTGACCTGTGAGGAGGGGATTTCTTCCCCAGACCATGGGGTACTCAGATCAAGTCCCTCAGATGGCCCAAGCCATCTAAGCTCCACTCCACACCCCTCTCTCACCTGTGTGGCTCACCATTCAGTCACCACTGGGACCCCGATTCTCTCACACAGGCCTCCAGGCACACGCCGCCCCCTCTACCTAGAAGTCTCTTTCCTAACCAGCCTTCAACAGCCAGCATCAGTACCCCTTCCCAGACTCCACAGGGAAAGCACCCATGCACTTGAGCCCAGCATCTTGATATACTCCTCAGACTGGGCTAGGAAGGTGGTCTCCCTACAGGCAGGGGTTCCTTGTGGGTGGGTCTGGGTCTGGCACAACTCCAAGATTCAAAGCTTTAGAATTCCTGGGCGGAAGGCTCAATACTTCAGCAACAGGCAAAGACAGGGGAGGCGAATCAGCTGGATGAGGATGACCCTGACCCTCACTGACCTCAGAGGTCCTGGTGGTTCCCTAGGAGAAGGGGCAAACAAGACCAAGGGTGGGTCATCAGGGCAGCTGCCTGCTCAAGGCCAATTCCCAAGAGCCGCGTGCAGCAGCTCACCCAGAATCTCTGAGAAATAGCCCTGCCCGTGGCTTTGACCAGCTATGGGGAGCTCCCTCTTATCCTACCATTTACAGCTACACTTCCAGTTCCCATCCCTAGCCCTGCCATCTTCCCAAATCAAACTGCTTCTCTAGCTCCACGGCAGACCCCCTAGGGCCTAGAGGTCATTGTTTCCCTTGCTCTTCCCCCCTCAGTCTGGCCTGCTGGGTTGGAGGGCCTTCACCCACATGGTTCATGGCCTGGAATCCTTACACTTCCTCAAGGTCTGGAAGGAGCTGCCGCCTTTACCCCCACCATCAAATTGTGAGACTGCTAAGATTCCACGGAGGCAGCCGGGGCAATGGTAGTCACGGCACACATTCCCTCTACCCAGCACCTCTCTTCCCTCAGCCTAGAGGACAACTGAGTCCCAGATGCCTCAACATGGTGTTCAACCCCTTCCTGAAACACCTGCTCTCTACCCTCTGCTCACACTACACCTGGCAAGTAACCAGATTCCCTTTCCCAGATTGACTAGCTGGTTCCAGAACAGCTCTCCGCTGGCGGGCCTGGGCCATGCTGTTTCTTGAAAGGGTACTTACTACCTTTCCCTCAATTTCTCTGCCTAGCAATATCCTTCCTCAGTCTACAGGGCCCAGCCTTACTGTCACTGCCATGCTGGTCTCTCTAGACAGATAAACGCTCATGCCCAGGCCATCTAAGCTCCACTCTACACCCCTCTCTCACCTGCCTCTTCATATTTTCTTCATAACAACCCCATCAGGCCTAAAGTACCACATCTCAGAAAGGCAAGGAGACTTGTCCAAGATCATCTGGCTAGCAAGTGTCCAGAGGAGTAGGAAGTGAACCCAGTTCAGCAAAGCCCAA